TTATTTACGCCACACCTTAAATGCCGGTCCCTGAAAATATTGTCTGACATAAACCGGTCCGTGGGGCAAAAAAGGTTGGGAACCCCTGCACTAGATGGAGCTTTGCTAAAGGGAATACAATACAGCTGTATTTATATGCATGTAAAACTGGTCACGAACACCGACATGAAACACAAAAATACAAATGGCATTACAAAACCATAAATGAAAGAAACAACATTATTAAGACAGTTGATTCAACAAAAAGCCACACAAACATCGTGGGCTCACATGTCTCCTTCCTTCGTTTAGTCAGTAGTTTGCTTTTGGTGTCATTTCATAATGGCTGCGCAGAGCTCACAAAGTAGTTGTCTGAGTGTGTGTTGGTTCAAGGTTCAAGGTTCAACTTTATTGTCAAATATGCATACATTGACATGTAGCATGGATGAAATTTATTTCTCTCAATCCTTTTTTTTGGATTGGCGAATGCACATGTCAATTAGTGTCGGGCAGAACCCTTTTATGTCACAAGTGTTTCCTGTTAATAATCACCACTAGATGGCATAGGAACACTAACAGGGAAACAAGTCAATGGGGTAATTTGAATGCTTTTAGGTGCGCCTTATAGTGCAGAAAATACGGTAGTTTTCTTGGATGAGCCTTCTTTCATACCAACCCATGCCCAGAGACCAAGAGGATGAAGAATACAGCAGACTGCTGTCTCATGTATGGTACAGGCAGCACTTGACAGAAATTCCTGCACCCCCTTTGAAGTTGCTGGCTCTGGCTCCCCTCACCGATCAGTTTAATTGGATGACGTTTCTGTAGTGCCACCTTTCGCCATATCCCAGATGTATGGCAAATAGAGAAATACCCCAAATTCTTCTGGATCTCTTGTAAGAAGAGGCCTTTGTCTAGCCACTCTCCTCAATAACCGTGATGTAGGAGAATAGCGGTGACGCTTTTCACATGTACGACGTAGACAGCCCTTGCCAAAAATGTGACATTTTTCAGCGATTACCTTCTTTGTAGACATAAAAGTTTTGTGTGACATCCTCATAAATGCAAAATCCATTTCAAATGAACATCTGCTATGGTGCACTATTTGAGAAATGCCAGTAACTTGCAGGTTTCATATTACACCAAGACTAGAGTATGACAGTAGGAGTAGGACCCACCTGTAGGCAAAGACTTTGTGGTCCATGGTCTGACTGATGTTGTCAGCTAAGATGCGGGCCATTTTCAAAGCGTCAATATAGTCCGACGACTCCTTCAGGATGGTGTGAAAGGTCATGAAATAGCTGGCGCCCACCTGGGTGTTGTTGGGAAAAACGTCCACTGCGGTGGCATAGGCTGCATGGCCGCTGCAAAGAAAACAAAGAGTGAGGGCAGAGATGGAATACTTTTAAGACGCATGCACACAACGTAGCATAAGGAATTACCCTTTTCCACACTTGACATTGGGATTGTCTGACAGGAACATGGGAAGAAAGCGCATGAAGTCATCACCCAGGGGCCTCTGCTTCCCACTTTGGGTCGAAGGTCGACAGTGTACACACGATGGGTCCACCACTAGAAAACCATAGGCCATTTGGTAAAAGCGTATTAGGAACTGTATGTGATATTTTGGTTGTTAAGGCATTTGGTTCAAGTAATTATGCAATAGTGTCTGTACTCATTGTGCTCACGGGTAATTTAAGTCAAAGCCAGTTTACCAGACCTCGACCTGCTCAAATGCCAATCAACCATCGCTTGTCTTTGTTTTGTCATCGAAGCAGTCTTTTCACTGTTACGCGAGACATTTGGTGAATTCTCCGACAGCTGACGAGGATTTAGACTGGTCATCCGTTTGCGTTAACAGGTGACTTTTATGATGGCTGTTCAAAGCCCCTGCGCAGTTGTTTTATTTTCAGGATAGACATACTTTTTGCAAGCGACCATGCCACCAGTTTCATTTCTTGGACAATATTTCTTTTCAACACACCTGAGGCATTGCTTGTATAGTTTGCGACCACATATTCATTTCCCCAAGTTGTCATTGCCATAACATCTGATAGGCGATCAATCAACTTCAAATTATCTTTATTGCGCAGTGGTCAAGTTGACGCATCGAACAGTTGGTTCAAACCCTGCTGGTCAGGTGGAAGTAAACAAATTTTTCCACCTTGTGTAAAAGCACTGCAGCGTTAACAATGCGCTTGTGCCACTGTGTTTGCTAGTCCATTGTGTGCAAGGGTAATAGAATGTGGGCAAGAATTCACCTGGAGAGTTGTTGACATTGGATAAAGATTTACCTGAAGCGTTACAGAAGGCTCCTGTGGCATTGTTGTAACGGCAGCAAGTGGACCGTGGCTTGACCCAATCGAAATAGTCGTCCAGCCAGGAGGAAGGTGTGACGGCGATGGTGGAGCTGAAAGTAAAAAAAAATTAAAAATTAAATACATATATACGAGAATCTCATGCTGTCACTTTAACGGTTTTATTTGAAGATGTGAGACATACTAGTTGCTGATGAGTGACGCGGAATAGACCTGCTGCACCAGGGAATTATTGTTGCAGCCTACGCCGCCGCACACGGCATTCTGGCCCTCAAGGCTGCTGTAGTTGAGGCCATCCTCCACGACAAAGTAGACCGGAGCTCCCGTGTGGAGATACTGACTCAGGTTTTTGAAGTACTCCAACACGTATGAATCCTATTTGAGGGCCCAAAAAAAGCGTCAATGGCAACGAATACAAGGACAGATTAAAAAAAAAAAAGAAAAGTCCACATGTCATAAAAATAGGAGAATAAAGTAGAACTACAGCAAAAAAAAAGCATCAAAGGCAACGAATACAAGGACAGATTTTAAAAAAGAAAAGTCCACGTCATAAAAATAGGAGAATAAAGTAGAACTACAGCAATCAGCAGTTTAATGTGAATGCACAACATGGACTGAACTGACCGCTTTTCTTGGATGCATTGATCGTTAAAAGATATGCCATAATGCAGTGGTTCTTAACCTGGGTTCGATCGAACCCTAGGGGTTCGGTGAATCAGTCTGAGGGGTTCGACGGAGCCTCTGCCATGGTGGTTTAGACACACCCGACTCAACATGTCAATCAGTTATGACACACCTGCTTGGCCATCATTGGCGGCAGATGATCACATTACATTGCTTGTCCAATCAGTGCTGGGGGAAATTTAGTTTGCTCAGTGGTCAACGTGTAACTGTCATGATAGTACGGCGTGTGATTAAAAAAAAAAAAGTTTGGTGGTCAGACGAATATGTACAATATGGATTCGCAGCGTCCTATCTGCATGATTTGTCATGCCAAGTTGAGCAACACTCGTCTTGAACCGGCAAAACTGAAGGAACACTTCTTTAATCATAGTTTTATTTTTCACTAAGGGTTCAGTGAATGTGCATATGAACTGGTTGGGTTCGGTACCTCCAACAAGGTTAAGAACCACTGCCCTAATGTATTGATGCCAATGGAGAGGCACTCATTGAAATGATAATTTTCTGTATGAGTGTATGGAAATATAGCTACTCTCAGAAATGTAACACTTTTTTTCCTCAATAAATTTACATCTTCAGATTATATTCCAACTTCTCAATATAACTCCAATTGCATTATCTTTAATTTGTTTATCCTCGTAACATGACAACATTATTCCTTTAAAATTGTCTCTTTATTCTCATCATATTTGAACGTTATTCTTTTATCATTATGTGTATTTCAAGGACCCCCCCCACCCCTCCCAGCAGGAATAAATAAATAAATGACTAAATGAAACGGCTTGCTGTGAACGATAGTTGGCACCGACTTTATAGAGTTGTTCATCTTGCACGGTGGCAGCTGTAACCGAGATTGACACTGTGCATCACATTCACGTGACTTACATCAGGCATGGAGAGCTGCTGATTCAGTCCGATCTCAACTTTGTTTACCACAGCAATACTGAAGGACAACACTCCCACAAACACAGCCACCTGTAGAGGGATGATTTTTTTTCCAGTTATCATCACCTGACAACCTGTGTTTAAAATTAAACAGTACAAAAGCAAGGCAGCTGTTGCAAACACGTGCCGCTGCTGCATGCACTTACAATGATGGGCCGCACCCATTCTTTGAGGATCAATGGCGCAAAGACCTTCTTGAAAAAACGGAAAAGGATGCTGTCTGTCCTTGTTTCCTGACCTTCAGGCAACTTGGCGCAGCAGATAATGTCCAGACGATTTGCCTATTGTGACAGCAAGATTTAGGAATTTCAGATAGTATCATCATCTAAATGTGTTGCCAACGTTTAGGCTCACCTCCTGCCTCTTCAGATCCAAGCCCAGAAGGCTGACAAAGCAGCTGATTTGCAACAGGAAATCAATGAAAACAGCCAGGCCAGCAAAGAGGGAAAAAGTCCTAACTGCAGGCATGTTGGACAGTGCTCCTGCAGAACAAGACCATCATCAGCATGGAATTAGAAAATACATGGCGCCGTTGAGAACATACAGTATTGTGGCCTACAAATTTCATTCCTGATCATATGTGTATACCCAGAAAGAAGGCCACAGTCTCTGAAAATGAGGACAGGAATATGCTGGGTGCAACGTCGCCGAGGATGCGACCTATCTGTTGGTGAAGTTCCTCCTGGGGCAACCGCTCATCTCGCTGACACCAAAACAACAACCAAAAAAGGTGAATTAAGCCATGTTTTGTAGGGACTCGGTGATGAACTCAACAGTATGCATCTACCTGGTACGTTTGCACAATGATGAATATGTTGTCCACACCGACAGCCAGCACCAGGAAGGGGATGACCTCAATGACGATGAGGGTGAGGGGGATGCCAACGTAGCTGAAGATGCCCAGCGAGGATGCCACTGAGCTCAGCACAATCAGAATGCCCGCTATGGCCAGAGAAATCTTGGAATCCACCTGTATGTGTGCATGCAAAAAAGCTCATTGTTAATGACAATGAAAACCGGTGACATAAATGTACCACACTGAACTGCTATGACAACTCATACTGTTAGGTTGGGGGTCGGCAACCTGCAGCTCTAGAGCCGCATCCGGCTCTTTAGCGCCCCCCAGTGGCTCCCTGGAGCTTTTTCAAAAATGTTTGAAAATGGAAAAAGATGGGGGAGGGAAATATATACTTTTTGTTTTGATATGGTTTCTGTAAGAGGACAAACATGACAAACATTAACATTTTCCGATGCTGTTAAAATGTGTCGAATAAATATTAAATTTCAACATTTCGTCAACGAGGATTTGTGTCACAGTCTGCGACACACGTTTCTAATAGCAGGGCGGGATGTCAGTAAGGGGGCTGTTGTGTTTAAAAAAAAAAAAAAAAAACGCCTTTCATGTACAATTCACCGAGGGTACTTGCAAAGAATGGGAATCTGGGTAGCCAAGAAAAGCATGTTTAAACGTTACACATGAGCTACGATAGAACACTGCAAAAGTGCGTCCCGTGCCTCATTCGTCTTAGCAGCCGTTATGGCTATTGGTCATTACGGCATGTGTAGGTAAGTGTGTGCGTATGCGCGCATGTGCAGTAACGGGTCGATCGCGTGAGGTTGGTTGATCAAAGAGTAGATGTTCTGTCAAAAACGTTTAGGCACCACTGCTCTACAGGATGAACTGCAGGGGGGGAAAAAACTTCTAATCATGAATGCTCGTTGTGTACTTGTAGCCAACTTAGTCATGTTGATAGTAGACTAATATCGATAATATAGATACATACAGCGTGTGGTGCCTTCATTATAAGGCTTTTAATTTTTTGCGGCTCCAGACATATTTGTTTTTTGTTTTTTTTCGGTCCAATATGTCTCTTTCAACATTTTTGGGTTGCTGACAGCTGTGTTAGGTATATATTATTCTCCTTCTACTTAAATTGCCCTTTTCCCTCTTCTACCGCTCCTTTTTGTGAGCCATCAAGTCCTGTGGCGGCAGGTTGAGCAGGTTCTATTGAATCTGCGCCGTGTACCGTGACATGAACTCGTGATAGCAGCCGCTTACCAGCAGTCTTCTGCAGCTGTTGATGTGTCCTAGCGCTAGCGAGATATAGACAAACATGATGGCGTAGCTCAGGACAACGGTGCTGATGTCACTGTTGCTCTCCCGGTTGATTTCGTCCTCGACGCTCCTCTCGGAGCTGAAGGCGATGGTCAGATTGGGGTTGTGGAAGTCCTTCATGAAGCGGATGAATCTGGAGTACACGCACACGCACACAGGTGCTTTAATGAAGGAGATCAATGGCAAGAAAACTTGGATACCTATCTATTTTATAAGAAGCTAACACCATTAGCTAATGCTAATCTATGCTCCGAACACTGCATCCCTGCTTAACTTTTGTCTTTGACAGAACGGTGTTTGCGTGTTTGGTCTGGCTATCACGTGAAAATGGAGGATCTTCCCTCAGCCTAGCAGCAGGTCATGTGCAAAGAAATTCCGTGTGGGGGTGTTACACTAATTAGCTGTGCTGTGACATCACAATACGGAATAGTATCTTTTAAACCACAGGCATCAAAGTCAAGGCCCGGGGGCCAGATCTAGCCCGCCACATCATTTTATTTGGCCCATGAAAGCAACTCAAAGAAGATGACAACTTTCATGGTGCTTTCTGTCTGAATCAAAATTTCAAATTGTCATATATAATGTAATCATTACAACGTTTGAACAATCCATTATTCTTGACTTCTATTGTCAAAACTGGTTATGTATCTATTTGTTGTTCACTGTGTGTGTAATATGTGGAGGTGGTTAAACATGTTTATGGTTTCACAAAATTCACAGTCAACGCCCCTCCAAGGGAAACCGTAACTACAATGTGGCCCGTGACAAAAATGAGTTTGGCACCCCTGCTTTAAACAAAACAAAGTCTTACTCTTTTTCCCACGCTTGGGCTTGGCCCAGCCTGTCAGTGTCGTTGCGGGAGTTGTGGATCGGAAAGGTGATGACAAGAGCGCTCGCGTTGTTGTAGTTGGTGGCTGATATGAAGGAAACAAACATAAAAAGCAAACAACTCAACATCACCGCATGTGCTGTGTACATAGAACAAGAATTTGACATTAAAACAAAAGACAAGTTAAAAGAGATGAATAACATTAAAAACAGTATGCCACTACACTAGATCAACGCCAAGTGCCATGCTAAATCAAAAGCCATGGAATAAAAAATGTGTTTGAAGTACAAAGACTGTTGGCTTTAGATAAGGCGCCAAGGGTCCCAAGTCAGCATGGAACCAAACATCCTAACGTCCCCTTTCTTTTCATTAAAATTAAAGAAAACCAGCGACATTCAGGCCTTGATTTCCAAGACAGAAGTGGCCGAAATAAGAACATTTCCGAAATATCTCATGCCTGTTTAAGTTCTGATTATGCAACTTGATAGATGCCGCAGAAAAGGTTGTCCCTGTACTTCCTTTAGTGTGTGTACTGCTTACAGTCGTAGCCTCCAAGCGCCAGCCAAGGGAAGACGGGACCTCCAAAAGTGCCGAGACAAGGATCGTGGAGGAGAGTGGTGTCATTGAGGGATGCCGGTGCACTGTAAGACAGAAACGTGTTCCATACCAATTCTCTCTCTCCCTCTTTTTTTTTTTTTTTTTTTTTTTTT